AAGGATTGTTTATGTAGATAAGAAACAAAACAGGGCCCAGGATGGAACCTTGGGGAACCCCAGAAGTTACTGGAAATAAATAAGAGTGTTGGCCTTCAAGGATGATTTTAATAAACCGGTTAGATAGAAATGATTTGATAACCTCACAAACTTTCCCAGAAACACCATATGAAGCAAGCTTATGGAGAAGACCAGCATGCCAAACTTTGTCAAAAGCTTTAGATATGTCGAGAGCAATAGCACTTGCCTCACCGCCTCCATCTAATGCACGATAAAATCTTTCAGTTACAGCAGTTAGCAAGTCAGCCGTAGAGCGAGAGGATCGAAAACCATATTGATTGTCTGACAGTAGTTTATTTGACTCAAGATGAGATGTGAGGAATTTGTTGATCAAAGACTCAAAGACCTTGCTAATAACAGAAAGAAGACTGATCTTGCGATAATTGGAGGGGTCAGAATTTTCTCCAGTGTTTTTGAATATTGGAACCACTGATGCCATTTCCAACAAGCAGGAAAACAAGACTCTTCTCCTCACATAAGCTCTATAGCTCCACAGATAAAGGTAATTTCATCACTCCATAACATTTTATTCCATTTTACGACAGTCCAAGTTTTGTGCATCTACGCAAATACTCTGTTTTTCGTGATGTTATCAGGTCGCAATAAAGACTTCTTCGCAGCAATTCTCCCATTCAAACCAGCTTGCTGCAGGCATTTTCTAACTGTGTTTGCTGTCAGATGAACTTCATGGTTTTTCCCCTTGTAGCTTGCAAAATCTCAAGCCGTGACAAAATGATTGGACTAACTCACCCAAACCTAAAGCCGATCCTGCTTTGCAGTAGTTTGACAAGATGGGTATACAAGGGAAATACACTAAGTCCATTTTTGGCAGTATGGAGTTATTTACACCACTATTTAGTATTTTAAATTTTTTTTATATATTTGTATATATGTATATATATATATATATATATATATATATATATATATATATATATATATATATATATATATATATATAAATATATATATATATATATATATATATATATACATATATATATATATATATATATATATATATATATATATATATATATATATATATATATATATATATATATATATATATATATATAAATATATATGTATAAATATATATATATAAATATATATATATATATATATATATATATATATATATTTATATAAAAAAACTAGATTAGATTTTTAATTCTACTTAATTATCAACTGCTTTTAATGCAAAAATATTCATTTGGATTTGAGAAAAGGGAACAACATTCTCAGAGTTTTTCTTCTTTAACTCTAAAAATTAAAAATGATAATATCAGTGGTTTTTATAGAGGAATTACTATAGTTAAAAACGCTAAAAGGAAAAAATATGATGATTTGTTTCATGAAAGGGAGTGACTTACTTCAAAATATCATTTTTATTTTTTAATGATATTCTGGTGTTATTACCGATTATTTAGCAGTATGAAACCTATAGTATTATATACCATACTATATACCCTATTTTACTTATAACGTTATTAATCTGTAAAGTAATTTGTAAAAAATTTTTAGTAGTAAAATTGCTACATGAGAAGACAAGTTGTTAGATGAAATTCAAATATTCTCTATGTTTGTGGTCTGTAGGTCAAAAAATAATAAACAAAGATGATGTTGATTGTGATGACCAAGAGGTTCATTTTAAGACACATCAATCTTCATCATCTTTAAATAAAAAGGATAAACATGATGGATTTCCATTATCTCAAGCAAGCAAGTCTTTAGTTAAAAATAATATTGTAATGTTTGTTGTAAAATGCTAACATGAATGTCATTATTAAAAAACATCATTGAAATGATGAGGTTCCAATTTTAACTTTTGAATAATCACCTTTATGAAATCCATTATTTCAATATTATCAAAACTATAAATCTATGGAGCAATCTTTCTCATCTAACCCGAAATCTGAGAAAAACGCTAATATATATAATAAAGCATTGCCACAATTAGGTATTTTACTGTCTATTAGTTTTTCTCTGATTTAGGGTTAGACCAGTAGAGTTGTTAAACTCTACAAAAAGTTATGCTCACTTAAGTAACAAAATTTGATTACAAGGATTGCTTAAAAAAACTGCATTTTAAATTATCAGTTTCGGCAAACGGTAGTTTTGTTATGGAACTTTGTTGATAGAAGCGCAATATTTTGCTTTATTTACAATATTTTAACTTAGGTGCATATTCTGCTACAAAAAATTAGGTGTCTGCTACATAATCTTTTTTGATAAAATTTGGCATGTACGTAGAAAATAAGTTTTTAAATTTTTCTTAATAGTTTCAAAAATGTTCTCAACATTTTTTCAATACTAATTTGACGTGTGATCAACAACGAAGTTTTTAAGAAAAGTAAATTCAATAAAAGCGGTTGTAACTTCAAAAAAAAACTATCCAAAAATGAAGTTTAACTCTTCCACTTTTTAAAAAATGTCTATGCTGATTTAAAATCCTAAAAAATAACATAACAAAATACATTCTTACAAATCAAACGCTAAGCACGCTTTGATAAAATAGTCAAAGATTTTGATTACTTTATCGGTGCTGTAACTCATTGGATACGCACGTACCTAAGAAATGTAAGTCATTCTCAAAATTTAAAACTGCTCTCATTAACTACTTTTCAGAAAAAAATTGCTAATAAATTTTGTACTTTCATTCAACTTATTATTTATAACCCAAATTCTGAGCTTCTTTTTATCTAATTTTTTCTTTTCTATTCTGATTTAATATTTTTTGTTAAACTTATTAAATTTTACAAAAAATATTAAAGCACAACAGAAAATAGAAAAAAAAATAGATAAATACTATTTATCTATTTAAAATAGAAGCTCAGAGTTAGGGTTATAAATGATAAGTTGAAGGAAAAGTATAAGATTTATAAGCAATATTTTTCTAAAAAATAGTTAAAGTTATAATGTATATAAAACCAGTTAATTATTATTTTAATCTTTCTTAAACTGAAATTTTTTCTCTTCATCACTATAATTGTTATTATTATTATTACTATACTTTTATCGTTATAAATGTTATTATTCTTACTGTTGTTAATATTGTCATAATTTTTTTTTATACTACTGTTTTTGTTATATTACTGTTGTTGTAATTGTTGTTATTATTATTATTGTTGTTATTTTTACTGTAATTTTTATTATTATTAAAATAGTCCCAGTGGGCACCCGACGTCAATCCGACGTCGGATTTACGTTTGATTTTCATCAGCGATGTCAAAAGACCTATTCCGACGTTGTTCCGATGTCAGTAAAATGACGTCGGGCGATGTCTTTATCTCAACATCCCCTGACGTCGTTTCGATGTATTTTGACGTTGTTCCGACATCTTATAAAAGACGTCCAAAAAACGTCGCAGTACTGACATCGATCCAACGTCGATAAAAAGACGTCGGGCAACGTCATAATATTAACGTACTCCGATGTCTTTTGACGTCTTTCGACGTCAATCCAACGTCCTTAAAACGACGTCGGAAAAACGTCGTAAGACATCGCTGATGAAAATTTAATCCAAACCCAACAATATGTGTGCAATTGCGCTCTTCAATAATTATGTGAACTAAGCGTGTTTTTTTATTAATGGAAAAAAGTTTGAATAAAGGTTGATAAAACATCATGAGGTTTTGTATGATGCACAAGCATAGTTTTTTAACTATTAACATTTTCGAGTATACATTTTTTATAATATATAACTATTCGTTTTAATATTTATATAATATTTAAACAAAATTATTTCTTATCAAAGTAATAATTCCCAAATAGCTACAAGTATAAATTACTAAATAAACTCATCAATTAATATGTCCTTGTGGTGTAGTGGTAAGCGCATAGGATTTAGTAACTAACAGACCGAGGTTCGATTCCTGTCAGAGGCAGCGTTTTTTAGTTTTCAAAAAACACGTTGGATTTACATCGGAATGCCGACGTCGCGCGATGTCAGTTTATCCGACGTCAAATAACATTTCCATTTCCAACGTAAACCCAACGTCGATCCGACGTCGAGATCCGACGTCGCTCGACGTTCGTTCGACGTCGAAATGCCCACTGGGGTATAGCGTATACTTTTTAAAATCTTTACTATTACTTTTAATCGCTGTTATTACAACTATTATTTTCCTACTTGCATTATAATAATTATTAACAATACTTCAATGATAAAAAAATAATGCTAATAATATTAACATCATTTTATTAGTATTAAATTTTACTGGTGTTTATTTAATATTACTAATTATTACTATTTGTAAATAACCTTGATGTATCAACTTTATTCAGAATATATTTTATTTGGTTTATTTTGATCACTGAAAATTGAAAGTTAATGAAAGACAATGAGACAAAAGCAATTTTATACATTTATATATATATATATATATATATATATATATAAATATATATATATATATATGTATATATATATATATATATATATATATATATATATATATATATATATAAATATATATATATATATATATATATATATATATATATATATATATATATATATATATATATATATATATATATATATATATATATATATATATATATATATATATATATATATAGAGAGAGAGAGAGAGAGAGAGAGAGAGAAAGAAAGAAAGAGAAAGAAAAAAAGAAAGAAAGAGAGAAGTATATAGAGAGTGCTCAGTGTTCTTAAAAAACAGAGCAATAATAAATTAGTAAAAACACTTGATGATATACCTATATAGGATTTACTCACTTTCCTCCCAACCTTCCATCCCGACCTTCGTCATAACTAACGTCATAATCCGATAACGTCATAACGTTATAATCCGATAATGTTTTAAAATAAAAGAAATTAAATTTTTTTTGTTTAAAGTTAATCAAGCGTTATAAAAAAAATATATAAAAAAAGCAAATGCTTTTTAATTATATTCGTTATAAAAAATATAAAAAGGCATTTTATCAAATTATATAATTGTTTCTTACAACATAAAAAAATGGGTAAAGTAAAAAAAATTGAGGAAAGTAAAAAAATAAAAGTCAAACGTCAATTATTTGTCAAACCTGTAGCTGTAAGTTTATTGTTTTCTTTTTTTAAAATAAATGTTTTGTATTTTTTTAAAATGGATGTGTATTTTTTCTAGGTTGTTAAACCCTATGTGCCCGAAAATGCTTATAAAGCGCCTCAAAATTATGTACCTCAAGTGGTTGAAACAAGACCACTTGAGGAATCAGATGAGGAAACATACGAAGACCAATTGGAAATCTACGACGATATTCCAGAAATAGACGATGGTAAATTAAAAAAAATTTTTTTATAATAATTTTTTTTTAAAAAATATTTAGTTTAAAATAATTTTTTTAGAACAAGTTCGCATACTCGATGGTATTATGATTCGTATTGATCGTCATTTAAACGACGGCATAATGAATCGAAATGAACGATATTTTTCACTAAATGGAGATTTAACAACTAGACGAGTGGTTTGTTTTGGATGTTGTTTATGTAAAGGCGAAGAGAGCGAACATAATCATTGTTGCGCAACAACCGTGTGCCCGTACATACAAGATTTATTTGAGCGGTGCCGCGGTTGTTGTTATTGTATATAAAAATATATTTGTAAATAAATTGTATACATGTAAATAAAAAATTCATTTATCAAAATGTCTTTTGATGCGACGGACGATTGTTTGTTATATTTATATCAACTTAATTTAGATTTAAAAAAACATTTACAGGAAACGCATTTAAATCAAGGTGTTTGGATGGATAAAGTTCTTTTAGCTGAAGAAAGCGAATTGGATAGTTGTAAAAGAATATACGGTTTTTATATTAAAGATTCAAAATTGATAAAGACATATCAAAAAGAGTTGATAGAAGTTCTTGATTTGCTATTTAAATGTCTTCCGCATCGCGTATTTTATCCTGACACGTGTTTTCATAATTATAGTGAAGTCATTGAACATTGTCTTGATGTGTTAAAAACATTTTATTATTATTTTACGTGTATAGATAAATTGTATAAAAAAATAAACTATGTAAATAGTTTAAAAATAATAGTTCAACAATTGTGTTATTATTGTAAAGGATTAGTTGGAGGATTATATTTGCAAAAAGATGTATTGGAATGTTATCATATTATAAAAAAGGAAAGAGACAATATATTAAATGAAAAAATTTATTAATGTAAAATTTTGTTTTTATTCTCATAATAAACTTTTAACAAAGTTTTCAAAACTGTTATTGATATTTTCAAAGAGTTCTTTATTTGTAAAATTGTTTGTACGTTTTTGAATTTCTTCGTCTATAATAACACCAATACGATAAAATTCTGCCAACACTCTACAACTATCTGATCCGTATCGGTCTTCTGCTATGTTTATTAGTATTCTTGCTTCTTGAGGGTTGTAACTAACAAATCTGATTTGATCATTTTTAACAAGTTTCATTTTTTTTTGTTATGAATCTAAAAAAAAATTAAAAAAAATTTATTTTGATAATACTTGTTTTACAAAATTATGAAAGTCTCGTTTAATTTCTTCTGTTTTCTCAATGTTTTTAAAATAGTTTGTTTGTTTTAAAACTTCTTCTTGTACCATTAATAATATATTGCCAAACGCTTTTAATGTTGATGGATCATTAATCTTTTCATGTTCAACATTTAAAAATTTTGTCATTATATCGGATTCTTCTCTGTTAAAAAATAAAAAGTCTTGATCGTCTCCAGTAATTAGCTTCATTTTTTTTATTCTAAAATAAAAAAGTTAAATAAAATCAACATGTCGTTTCTATTAGGTTTAAAATTAAGATTAATAACATATTCATGTTGTTTAAATAACCAATCTATACATTCCATATAAATATTAAAAAAAGATTTCATGACTAAATTATGTTGCTTAGTAGCAGAAAAAACAATTTATATAATAAGTATTTACAAAAAGACATTATTTTTTATTATAATAGTTCAAAAGTTCTTTTTGTTTTAAACAAATAACTTCAGGCGGATAATACGACGGAGTATTACATTTTGCGTTTATTGCCAAAAATGGATCTGCTACTTTAAAGTTTGGAAAATCTATATTGGATCTGTCTCGATTATCCAGTTCTGCATACGGTGGAGGATTTATACTTTCTTCGTATGATGGCGGATTTTCAAATTTAACTATAAACTTTTTATAGATATCCTTTCTACCGATTTCATTTAACAAATTTAAAATAAGTTTGATTTTAGCTTCGTTAGTATTGTATTCATAGTTTTGATACACGAAATCTTTGTATTGTAGATATTCCATTAAATCTAGTCCGTCTTTAATTTTCTCTCTTATTCCGTACGGTATTTCTAAAAACATTTTTAATTTTTTTACATCAGACGTAGTGATGTAGTCAGCTAAATCTCTCATGATTGAACTGTTCATTTTTTTTATTATTCTAAAAAAAATATAACATTATATAAAAAAATATATAATATAAAAAATACATTATATAAAAGAAACGTGTATAATAAGTTTATTAATTATATGAATAATTAAATACAAAACAAAATACATAATAAATTATATAAAAGAAACGTGTATAATAAGTTTATTGTTTTTTATATAATGTCTTTTTAATTGTTCGTGCGTTGCAAAACTATCTGTTCCAATAGCTCGGTTATAAGCTTGAGCAGGTTTTTCAAAACATTCTTTTAACGGTTCGCTATAATTGGCTATTATTTTTGTGTTTTCAATATATTCGTTTTTAACTGTACATGTTACAGTTTTCATAAATGGCCATTTTAAAGAATGATCTTTTGGAGACTGTATCAATTGAAAATAAATACCCATTTTATCTTCTTGATTACTGTAACCAAAAATTTTAAATCGGTAGAAATAACCGTCTACAGTATAAGAAGGTTGAGTATGATAAGCTTCGTTAGATTGCAATCTTAAATCCATTTGGTCCAATTCTATAATTAAATTATCAGACATGAATTTGTCGTTGATATCTTTATTATAATTTAATATATTATCATATAGTTTCAATTCTTTTTCAAATGTGCTTTTATTCACAAATTCTTTCATTTCCAAGCTGACGTTGTTCAATATTTTTTCAAATGTGTTTTTATTCACAAACTCTTTTATTTCCAAACCCATGTTGTCCATTTGTTTGGTTAATGCGTTTATTTGTTTGTTGACAGTTGCTAAACTGTTCAGAATGTTATTATTAGTCATGTTTAAAAAAGTTAAACTTTGTTTTTGATCCATAATAATATTTTTTTGTTTTTCCATTACTTCTTTCCATTCATTTTCAAAACGATGTAAACAATCAATAGCGTGTTGATCATAGTAGTTTTTTTGAATTTGATTTCCACAAAACACACATAATTTAGTTTGATTTCTTTCTACGCGTTCCTCGTGATAAATTTCACATTCATGTTCCCAAGTATCTGACAATTTAATTTTTTTTCCGCAGCTAAAACAATCATAATCTTGTGATGTGTTACATTTTAATTGATGATTTAGTAATTGATCAATAGTAAAGGGTAGCTTGCAATAATAACATAATTCTTTTTCCATAGCTTCAGCCATTTTTTTTGGTATAATTAGTTGCTTAAAAAAAGTATTAAATTAATATAAAAATTTTTTTTTAAATATTATGGGTAAAATTATGTAATAT